CAAGAAAATTCACCTGCCTTGGCCTGGGCAACCTGGCAGTACTCAGCCCACAAGCCAATCATGGAACATTTTTCTTTTTATAAAGATTATTGTACCATGATTTGTTTGCCACACAGTCTGTCCTCAGACAAGTGTGAAATATATCCTCATATTTGACATTTCGATTGCGCACCCTTTCGTGCACCACTTTTGATAGCTTATTTGGACTTTGTTCGCTAGAATTATTTGATAAGGTTTTATCTAACTAACTGACTAAAGGTTGTAAACTAGAACAAACTTATTGTGATAGCACAATAAGTGATCTGTTTCGGATATTTTTGGGTAGTAACGTCAAAATAAAACAATCCAATGATGAAACAACTGTGTCGTGTAGTGCAGTGCTTCTCAGTGTCTTTTAATCAACTTTCTTTAAGATTGAAGCCCATATGGGATTTCTTGATAGCAATATAAAGGCAGCATAAGGGCAGTCTTGTGGCCTATAGTTGGCTGATACATTTGTCATGCATGCCTGCGGCTTGATTGATTAATTGGTTAACTGGCCGATGCTGCCTGCTAACTCGCATGCACTTCATGCGAGCTGACTCGATTACAATATCATCTCGTTCAAAGCAGTTAGATGTCGCTGTAGTGAACTGTCCGTGCTGATCGATGTACAGACTGTTTAACCGCCCCGATTTCATCTAATGTTTTGCATCTGTGGTTGTTCTGCTAATCTGCTTCCTTATCGGCACTCCTGTTTGCTCACCGGTTCTTGCACCGGCTTCCTGTGCGCGTGTTGTGAATGAACAAATCGGCTAGTCTGTTACCTGTTTACTTATCTCCTTAAATGAGACAGAGCACACACTCTAACTCGTTTTTATCTGGCGATTACCTGGAGGAATGACTCTCTGTTTTAAAGAGACTGGAAGAAAACGTTCATTTGTTGTGGCATACAGCACAATCGAGTGCACCTGGGAGCTTGGACAACATTTTGGCCGTACTATTTATACGACGTCTGACAAAAGTCCATATATGGCAACGATTTGTGTTTGATTCACAGTTGTCGTTATCCGTCTTTTGGTAGAAACAGAAAGTTTATTCAACGCGAAACGAACGTGTCTAAAGGATTCAGCAATAAAAGCCGTGAAATCTGATAAATCTCACAACATCTGCAATCATATGACCACATCAAATGCAATCTATTGTTATTCACACTGCCTGATTTTTCCGCTTCCTGTGTTTGTTCTATGGCAACTCTCTGATTGTTCGCTTTCCCTGTTCCT